TCTGCTTTCTCGCCCTTTCCTCCCTCTTTCTCTTATCTCACTCCCTCTTCTCTCTTTCTGTTCCCTCTCTCTTCTTCCTCTTTCTCTCCTTCTTCTCTCACTTCCCTCTTTCTTTTCCTCTCTCTTCTCCCACTTTCTCTCTTGTCCTTCTTCTCTTTTCCCTCTCTCTGCTTTCTCTCTTTCCATCTTTCTCCTATATTCCCCCTAATCCTCCTTCATTATTTGTATCGCCTCTCTCTCCTTCCCTCTTTCTGTTTTCTCTCTCTTCCACCCTGTTTCTCTCTATATCCTCTCTCTTCTTCTCTCTTTCTCCTTGTCTCCCCTCTCTTCTACCGTCTTTCTTTCTGTCTCCTCTCTCGCCTCCACTCTTTCTCTCTATATTACCTCTTTATTTCCTTCTCTCCTTCTTTCTCTCCTTCCCTCTTTCTCCCTCTTTTTTCTTTATTTCAATTTGTCTCTCTTCCTCTCTCCTATTTACTGTTCTCCTCGCCCCCCCCCCTTTATCTTCTCTTTCTTCTTCCTTCTTATTCTCTGTATTCCTTCTCTTCTTCTTCTTTCTTCTTCCTTGTTTTTTTTCCTCTCCTTCCCTCTTTCCTCCTCTCTCTCCCTCTTCCTCTTTATTTTTCATCTTTATCGTCCCTCTCTTTCTCCCTCTTTTTCTCATTTTCCCTCTCCTTCTTCCTATCCCGTTCTCCCTCTTCCTCTCCATCTTTCAACCTATTTTCCCTCTATTCATCTCTCTCTTCTTTTCTTCCTCTTTCCTTCCATCTTTTACCTATTTCCCTCTCTTCATTTCTCTCTTCTTTTCTTCCTCTTCCTCTCCATCTTTCAACCTATTTTCCCTCTCTTCATTTCTCTCTTCTTTTCTTCCTCTTTCTCTCATCTTTCATTCTATTTTCCCTCTCCTTCATCCTTCTCCCATCTCCCTCTTCCTCTCCATCTTTCAACCTATTTTCTCTCTCTTCCTTTCTCTCCTTTTCTCCCTCTTCCTCTCCATCCTCAACCTATTTTCTCTCCTCTTCCTTTCTCTCCTTTCTCCTCTCTCCTCTCCATCTTTCCACTCATTTTACTTCTTCTTTCCCTTCCTTTGTCACGGCCGCTTCCCAAGTCCCCGAGGTTCATCTTTCAACTCCGAAGGCCGGCCACCTCGGCATTCTTTCTCTCTTTCTCCTCTCTCTCTCTCTCTCTCTTCTCTCTCTCTCTCTCTCTCTCGTCTCTCTCTCTCTTCTCTCTCTGCTCTCTCTCTCTCTCTCTCTCCGTCTTCTCTCTCTCTTATGTCTGGTCTGTCTGTCTCTCTCTCTGTCAGTCTCTTCTCGTACTCTACTCTCTCTCTCTTCTCTCTCTCGTCTCTCTCTCTCTCTCTTCCTCTCTCTCTCTCTCTCTCTCTCTCTCTCTTTCTCTCCTCTTCCTCTCTCTTTTCTTTCTCTCTCTCTTTCTTTCTCTCTCTCTCTCATCTCTCTCTCTCTCTCTTCTCTCTCTCTCTCTCTCTCTCTCTCTCTCTCTCTCTCTCTCTCTCTCTCTTCTTCTCTCTCTCTCTCTCTCCTCTCTCTCTCTCTTCTCTCTCTTCTCTCTCTCTTTGGTCTTGTTCTGTCTGTCTCTTTCTTCTCTGTCAGTCTCTCTCTCTCTCTCTTCTCTCTCTCTCTCTCTCTCTTCTCTCTCTCTCTCTCTCTCTCTCTCTCCTCTCTCATCTCTCCTCTCTCTCTCTCCTCCTCTCTTCTCTTTCTTTCTCTCTCTCTTTCTTTCGTTTTCTCTCTCTCCTATCTCTCTCTCTCTCTCTCTTCTCTCTCATCTCTCTCTCTCCTCTCTCTCTCTCTCTCTCTCTCTTTCTCTCTCTTCTCTCTCTCTCTCTCTCTCTCTCTCGTCTTCTCCTCTCTCTCTTCTCTCTCTCTCTCTGTCTGTCTCTTTCTATTCTTTCTCTCTGCTCTCTTTTCCTTTTCTCTCTCTCTCTTTCTTTCGCTCTCTCTCTCTCTCTGTCTCTTTCTTTCTTTCTCTCTCTCTCTCTCTGTCTTCTCTCTCTCTCTTTTTCTTTCTCTCTCTTCTTGATCTTGTCTCTGTCTGTCTGTCTCTCTGTCTGTCTCTCTCTCTCTTCTCTGTCTTCCTCTGTCTGTCTGTCTTGTCTGTCTGTCTGTCTGTCTGTCTGTCTGTCTTGTCTGCTCTGTCTGTCTGCTGTCTGGTCTGTCTGTCTGTCTGTCCTCTCTCTCTTCTCTCTTCTCTCTTCTCTTCTCTCTCTCTCTCTCCTCTCTCT